AAAAAAAAAAAAAAAGAGTTCTTTGTGGAGAAAGGCTGAAGATCTCAACATTATCCAAGGAAAGAGGTAAAGAAGCTATCTGGGAGAGAGTCTAACCTACATCTGTGCCTGCCGAGGCTTCTAAGGGGCAGCGGCCGGGAGACCCTCCGTGATGATCCTTACTACCGGAGCGTCCTCTGGCCCAGAGACCGCCGTGAGCACTCCATTAACAGAGACAACCTTCCACGATTTAGTTAGAGCTGTGTGAATCAGAATCATCTCTTTTGGTATTTCAAGGCTTAAATACTCAGATTCACACTGCCAAGGAAGCACCTAGGGTTGCTACTTTATCAAAACATGATAAGGTTATTTTCCAAAACGGATCTCCTTTCCTGCAGATTACAGGGGCTGAATGGGAGGATACGGATTCTCAGCTCGTCCCACCCTATCTGAAAGATGAAGCAGTACTCTGTTTCTTCCATTCAGTAACTTGCCAGAGACTCCCCAACTTTCACTTCACCACCTGAGACAAAGGCACAGGGAGAGCGGTGCCAACAGAAGGTCTGGAAGACAGCATGGCAAGCTTACTCACTGTGCGGATTCTCTGGAATTCCAATACAAAAGCTCATCTGAGAAGAGCAGTGTGGCCGCATTTCAATAAAGATACAGACATGTGGCATGTGACTCGGAGGGAGATCATGCCACATGAGGAGCCGCTTACAGGCCACTCCGGGAAACCCTGCCTGGTCGCCATAGCAAGATGGCGCCCATGATCTGAAGGGAACTGTCCAAAGTGCAGTCACACTGGATGTTTCCATGAAGAGAACAAATCGCTTAAAACGCTTATTAGCAAGCACAAAAAGGACTTGTCACAGCTTGTTCTGTATGCATGAGGACGTGGCAGCTCTCTGCCCACTCAGCCACGTGAGGCAGACGTGAGAGAGCCTGGGACAGGATGACCAACGTCACACAGAAAGCTAGCGTCAGACCTCTGACCTTGAGTTCGTGGCCGCGTACAGGCAAGGAAACAGATTCTGAATACGGTCAAGGCACATCTGAGCTCTGACTCAAGCTACTGGCGCTAAAGAGAACCATTTCTAGTGACTCTAAGGGGAGGGATGTTCTTAAAGAAATTATTTACATCTTTTTTCACTGCAACTCACCCACAATTCAAAGTTGGAATAAATGCCAATAAACCCCACTGTGACAGAGGCAGAGTAACTCATCCTAATCATTCTAATAATAATGAAACCTAACAACTGCTTCGTGCTTTCTAAGTGCCAAGGATTCCTTCAAACACTTAACATGTAATAGCTCATTAAAATTTTCAAGAAACCCTAAGACCGTGCCTGTTTATTGAGGAGAAGGCTGAGGCCCAGAGAGATTAAGAGACTTGAACTTGTAAGCGACAGAGCTGTAGGTGAAGTCGGGTTTCTAGACGCTGCTGGTCAACACCAGGCGAGCCGCCTCGCAGGCCTGGAAATCCCACATTTGCTCTGGCTGCTGACAGGTGCCCAGGGGACAGGTACGGGGTTGCGGGGGCAGGTCAAGAGCAACTGGGTGGGCAGTTAGAATCCAAGTTAGTTATGGCTGAAGCGTCTAGAACAAAAAGGAAGGCCCTCTTTAAAGAGCAAAAAGAGACACTAAGAGGTACAAAACTGAATTTTATTCACCCCAAACAACCAATAATCTCAAACCAGGAACACATCCATTTATTCATTCACCAAAAGCTGGTTGGGAAGCTGCAGTGAGGCGTATATCAGTTCCACTGAACAGAAACTGAAAATTTCAAAGACAAATGGAAGGTATGGAGGAGAACAAGAATTTATCCAAGAATGTTATGATAATTTATCACGTATCTTCTTTCAACAAGATTTCTAGGTCTTTTAAGAGGGAAACAACAATAAAAATTATCCCAGTGAATTCAGAGCTGCGGGTGGGAGGCACAGACACAACCACAGACGAAAGTGTATGGAAAAGGCGCTTAGTGACAAATCTACAAAAGTAGTACTGGTTTTAAAACAACAAAAATGAACTTACGTGTAGGCTAAAGTTGCACTAAAGTGTTTCTTAATGTAGGTTTCCAGAACAGGATTAAAATGCTGAAATTTTCTGTCAGCAATCAGTCCAATGATAAATACCTGTTCAATTAATCAATATTTTCATTAGTAAAATAACGCAAGCCTCGTCTGAATCATCCGCACTGCGGTGGGAGTCCGTGAACTAGAACATCTTCTGACGTTCCCTCCTCTTACCCCAGAAATGACATTGGCCTAACTACAGTGTCCCAGTGAAAACCACTCTCTGCCTCGCAACCCATCCGCTTTGATCGGATTTACAATGGAAAACACTTCCAAGGTGACGGGGAGGGACCCCCTCCCCCAGCTTCAAAGGCTGCAGCATGAAAAGCTCCTCAACACCTGAGCAGATGTAAAGTAGGGGCCTCTTACCAGAGCATCAAACACTAACGTATCAAACGTCTCGCTCTCGGAATTCTCCATCATGATGTTGAAGAGGGCATCCAAGGTGTCCTGGAGGAACTAGAGTCACACAAAATGTCAGCAAAGTAAACTCACCTCACTTTCCCCCAACCTAGAGTAACTACCATCTTTGGCCATACCCCAAAGACCCACCTTTCCCAAATGTCACCAATGAAGCCATACACTACAGGGACTTTTCCCAGCCATTAGATGCACAAGACAAAAACTGAGATGAGTGAACTCAGAACAAAGACATGGCACCCTAAGCCAAGCAGAGGAGGACTGGTAATAGGGAAATGCTCTTTGGTCCCCCCTCCGTAAGATTTCTCCAACCCTTTTCCTGGTCTTTACCAGTCTGGTGACAAAGAACTCAACAGCAGCTCTCGGAAGCCTGGCTCTGCCTAATCCCAAACCCTGAGTGTAGGACCTGAGCTAGGGAGTGGGCAGAAGCCGCACAGGGATGAACGTCCAGCTGAGTATAATGAAGGAACTATCACAGACCCAGATGCCCACAGATGGAAGAGCTGTGTGACTCTGAAACTGAGGCACCCAGCAGAACGCCAGGAAGCACGTTTTATTCAAGAGGAATTTAGAAATAGTCTACTGTAATTCACCAAACAAGTATGAGAGCACAGAATGACAAACCATCATGAATTAATTAAGGAAAGAAAAAATTAGGAGACTCCAAAGTTATGTCACACTGAAATTGACTTCCGATCCTATCTCCATCTTCCCCCAGAAGAAGTGTAAGACAGACCAAGACAGACTGTCTTGGAGGTAATGAGTTCCCAGTCTGTGGAGGAGTTCAAGAATAGGCAGAAGGCAACATGAAAGAATACTGGACATAAAAGAGAATAAAGTATAGATATGTCATCATGAGTCATCAGGGACATGCAAATCGAAACCACAGTGAGATATGACCTACAGCCACTGAGAAAGCTCTCATCAAGACACAAGCAGTACGGTGAGTGTGGGCAAGGATGCAGGGGAACTGAGCCCTTCCACATCACTGGTGGAGAAGTAAAATAGTACGACGGTTTTGAAAACAGTGTGACAAATCCTCAAAGGGTTAAACGTTCTGTTTGCCCCATGGGCAACCATTCGTAGGTATGTATCCAAATGAACGGAAAACATATGTCCACACAAAAACTTGTACACAATTATTCACGACAGCTTTACTCATAAATGTCAAAACGTGGCGAACACCCAAATGTCCACCAGCTGACAAATGGGAGAACAAATCCATACACTGGAATATTTATTATTTAGCCATAGAAAGGAATGAAGTTCTGATACATGGCGCACTATGCTCTGGAGGCATTATAATACTAACTGAAAGAAGCCAGGCACGAAAGGCTACAGACTGTCTAATTTAATTTATATAAAATAATCCAGAATAGTCAAATCCATAGAGACAGAAAGTAGATTATGGTTGCAGGGACAGTAGGGAGTAACTGCGGACAGATTACAGGGTTATTTTTTCTCGTGACCGAAATGTTCTGGAATCAGACAGTGGAGATGTCAGCATCAACTCTTGAATATAATGCCACCATGGAACAGTGCAAATGAAGAGCGCATTTTATGGTGTGTGAATTACATCTCAATGAAGCTGTCATGCAAAACCAAAGAACAGGTGAGAAGGCCCCATGGCCAGGGTGTCAAAGGGACATTCTTTCTGGAAGGTTTAGCCCATGCACACAACACACAGAACCAGAGGGGCCCTCAGGTCCCCACAGACGGTCTCAAGTGGTTAGCGCACTCAGCCTGAGGAACCAAACCACTGGGACCTGCTCCCAAAACCAGCGCTCGCCCCACTGCTCCCCCTTGTGCTATGAAAGCTTTCAACAGCCCCAAACCCAAAGCCACAGATCTCCCTCAGGAAGGGGAACGTACTCCCAAACCTAGTTAGGGATCTGAGACCCAGCGGTGCACAAAACCCTCATTATGTTCTTTTTTTTCCCTCCAGTTTTATTTATTTAAGCAATCTCTACACCCAACGTAGGGCTTGAACTCATGACCCCAAGATTGAGAGTCGCATGCTCTTCTGACCAAGCCAGCCAGGTGCCCCCAACCCTCATTCTGCTCTGCCACCCACCCACCACCTATTTAATGCCAGAGAAGTGTCACATGCAAGCGGCAGGGGAATGAAACCCCCCTCCCCCCATTCTGGTCTGGACATCAAGGGCTTCCTCGAGCCCACAATTATTGGGGGCCCACACCATCTTCTTACTTTTCTATTATTTCCCATCATTTTCAGTTTGTAAACATCTTTGCAGAGGTCAAACCCTTACGCCATCTGCTAACTGTCCGATGTTACTGCCAATGGGCTCACCAGGTGCCAAGCCCTGGCTCATCTCGGTTCACACACAGAGTCCCTACAGTAGGACTACCCATCCCAGCCAGACCGATGACATAATCAGTAGCCCAGAAATAGGGCAGAGAGAGTGGGAGCCGCCCGCATCTGGCTGTCAAGCCTCGGAGGCACAGGGATACCAGCATCCTCAAGGAGGTCCCACACACAGAGCCACAAACATGCTCCTTTTGACACCTGCGCTCTCTCGAAGACTATCCACTGGAAGCCCAAAATAATCACTATTTTCATTTTCCACCAAAATGGACAACTGTATCTTTTACTAAATAAGCCAATACTGTTCTTAATCCATCAAGTCATGTCATCGCTCTCCTACCAGTTATAAATATACATAAGGGTGGGAGGGGGCCTTGAATGAATGGAGTAAGCTCAGTCTAGGGTGTCCTCAGAGTAAAAGGAGCCCCATGCAGGCCGGGAATCCCTCCAGCCCTGGCTCCCATTAACAGCCGTGTGGCCTCAGACAAGTCCATTCACCTCTCTAGGCCTACAGGGTACACAAGATGACCCAGCGATGGACGGACAGGTCATTCAGACCTGCTGGTACCAACACACAGGGGAAGGAGGGGGTGGTGAAAACCATCTCCAGGGCTGAACAACAGGGCTTGGTAATAGATTAGGTAAGGGGAGTGAAGGACAGCAGTAAGACAAGGTGGTTCTAGATCTCCTTAACGTGTAACAATAGGCCAACAGAAATACAGCTAATTCCTGATGTGATATAGGGATTTAAAAATGAAAAAGGACAAAAATCTCATTAACTGTGTGTCTTCTAAAATTACGTTAACTTATTCACCCAGTTTCCATCTGAATCAGGAAGTTACAGAACCCAGGGAAGTCTGAAATGCAATTAACATTGTCCAAGCCAGAGGTAGCAGACAAGAACCTAAAAAGATGATTAAAATTAGAAGATTAGCAAGGATATGTTTGAATGGTTATACAATGAATTTCAGAAAGTGGTGCAACCAAATTAATTTATACTGAAGTTAACCACATTGCTCCTTAATTAAGGCCATTTTAAGTAATTAATTTTTACAGAGATAAGGCAGTCTCCTTCTGCAATCATCCCTCGTGGAGGGCGAAGGACTGAGCCAGGGACAGACAGACCTGGACACCGCGCTCACAGAACACCACGAGTGTGGACCAGCTTATTGTCTGCAGGCCAAATGGGGCCTCCTGAAAACGGAAACGAGTTTCCTTATATAAAAGGAAAAGTCAGGACGTCTAGGTGGCACAGCTGGATGAGTGTCTGACTCTTGGTTTCAGCTCAGGTCATGATCTCAGGGTCATGGGATCGAGCCCCACATCAGGCTCCACGCTCAGCACAGAGTCGGCTTGAGATTCTCTGTCCCTGTCCTTCTGCCCCTCCCACTCGTGCTCACTCTCTCTCTCTCTCTCTCTCTAAAATAAATAAATAAATCTTAAAAAAAAAAAAAAAAAGGAAACGTCACTGGAGCCAATGAGAGGCAAGAATGGCCTAATATCAGAAGCAACGATTCCCTAATGAAGAATTACAGAAATGGGGTGCTCCAAGGGATCTCACATCACCTCGGTCTCACTGTCCTACCCTACAGGTAACAATTCAAGAGGGTACCTGACACTTCTCCAGAGCCTGCTCTATGTAAGGCTAAGAAATAAGTCCAAGATCACATGGGGAAAAAAAATGGCCAAACAGGACTCCCAGGGCTGTGAACCTCGTGCCACACCACCCATCTCTCCAGGTCAATCGCAGAAGCTCTAGGTGAATCATGAGCCAGGACTAATAAGAATGCGTATGGTAATAATGCTGATAAGATGATAACAGGACCGAACGCTGGCGACCCCATGTGCCAGATCCAGGCTCATGAACCTCCAAACAACCCTACAAGAAGGCATTCCTGCTGTCTCCTTTTTACAGCAAGAGAAAGTAGGCCTGGAAGAGGTTATTTCACCTTTGTCCATCCCACAGTGAGGACCCACTAGAAGAGGAGCCAGAAGCCAAGACTGGGTTGATCCCAGAGCCCAACCCCGGGAAGTCAGAGCGCCCTCCCAACCGGAATCCAAGCCGAGTCTGTCCACTTCCAGGTGCAGGTACACATCCGTTCGAGGGATTGTAACCAGAGGCCCACGCTACCGTGGAGGCAGTGCCTAGATCCGTTCACACGTGGAAGAAAAGCAGAGCAAGCACCCCCGGGTGTATGTTACCTTCACCACCTCGCCGCCATCCACCTTCATCAGCTGTCTCAAGTTCTGCTGCAGCAGGTTGGTGTTGGAACGCCACTTCAAGAGCCCCAGCAGGTCCACTGAAAACACAGAACCAGCTTCAGCTCTTCCCAGCAACAGCTTTGTCTCCCTTCCTCACGGAGCAGCTGAGGGTTTCGACGTAATTTTGAAACAGAAAAATCAACCCTATTTGGAAACATTTGCCTGCTCCATACTCCATTTCTTTCTAGAACATATTTGATACCTAATATGGCTGAATTCATTATTTCCAACTACATTTCCCATGAAATGATTTCCACATTGAAGTTTCTTAAAAATGTGTTCGGGGGGCACCTGAGTGGCTTGGGCAGTTGGGTGTCCAACTCTTGATTTCAGCCCAGGCCATGAACTCAGGCTCCATGCTCAGTGGGGAGCCTGCTTGAGATTCTTTCTCTCCCTCCCTCTGCCCCTCCCCCCACCATGTGTCTCCTCTTTCTCTCTCTCAAATAAATAAATAAATCTTTTTAACAAATGCATTCAGGAGCTTAAGGAAAAAGGGCTGGCCTCTCCAGTCTGCAAGAAAGTAGACTCAGCCCAGCAGAGGGTCTGGAAGAAGGCTGCTCACCCACAAAGTGCTTCCCTGAAATCTACCAAGTGGATTTTTCCTTCTTGAGAACATGGCTTTTTTTTTTTTTTTTTTAATTAAATAAAATAAGAAATGTACCTTCAGGTACAGAAACTGCAAGGTCACAGGGAGCCTGAACCACAGGGCAACTGCTGACCTCACCCTGGCCTGGCCTTCCAGGGCTATTCATTTCTATGGCTGAATTTTTGTTTTGTTTGTTTTCTAACAGAAAAAACACAAGCTGAATGGATGGACTTTTTTTTTTTTTTT